ACCACATCCCCCTTGTCCCTGGAGTTGTGGGGTCACCATCACCACGTCCCTTTGTCCCTGGAGCTGTGGGGTCACCACCACCACACCCCTCTGTCCCTGTCCCTGGTGTCACCACCTCTACATCCCCCTGTCCCTGTCCCTGGGGTCACCACCACCACATCCCCCTGTCCTTGTCTTGGGGTCACCACCACCACATCCCCCTGTCCCTGGCGCTGTAGGGTGGGCAGGGGGTGTCTCCCGCCCCGCTGTGGGGTGGGCAGGGGGTCTCTCTCTCCCGCCCCCCATGACGGTGCCCGTGCCCCGCAGGTGGGCGGCGCGTCCAAGAGCAGCGCCCGCGTGGACGGGAACGGCAGCCTCGTCCTCCACCCCCTCACCAAGGACCAGCACGGCCTCTGGGAGTGCAGGGCCACCAACAGGGTGGCCACTGTCACCACGGCCACCTCTGTCCACGTGCTGGGTGAGGAACCGTCCCCCGGGGTGGGTGGCAGAGCATTCCTGGCATTCCTGGCACCATTCCTGGCATTCCTGGCATTCCTGGTTCAGGGTTGGGGTCGCCCAGCAGGAGCAGGGAGGGGGTTCTGAGCCCCCCCCCCACCAAACAACACCTCGAGGGCTGTGCCAACTTCTGGGAATTCAGGGAATTCAGGGGCTGGAGAAACTCCTGAGGGGAGAAACTGGGAGAAAAGGAGGTTCTGGGGGCACCTCTTGGCTCTGGAATTCCCTGGCAGGAGGGGGGAGCTGGGGGGGAGAAACTGGGAGAAAAGGGGGTTCTGGGGGCACCTCCTGGCTCTGGAATTCCCTGGCAGGAGGGGGGAGCTGGAGGGGAGAAACTGGGAGAAAGGAGGCTCTGGAGGCACCTCCTGGCTCTGGAATTCCCTGGCAGGAGGGGGGAGCTGGGGGGGAGAAACTGGGAGAAAAGGAGGCTCTGGGGGCACCTCCTGGCTCTGGAATTCCCTGACAGGAGGGGGGAGCTGGGGGGGAGAAACTGGGAGAAAAGGAGGCTCAGGGGGGATCTCCTGGCTCTGGAATTCCCTGGCAGGAGGGGGGAGCTGGGGGGGGCTCATCCTGGAGAAAAGGAGGCTCTGGGGGCACCTCCTGGCTCTGGAATTCCCTGGCAGGAGGGGGGAGCTGGAGGGGGATCAGGATCTTCTCCCAGGGAACAGGGACAGGAGGAGAGGGAACAACCTCAGGCTGTGCCAGGGGAGGGTCAGGGCGGGTTTTTGGGAAGAAACTGCTCCTGGAAAAGGATTGAAAGGGATTGTTGGGGCTGCCCAGGGGGGTTTTTGGGAAGAAGCTGCTCCTGGAAAGGGATTGAAAGGGATTGTTGGGGCTGCTCAGGGGGGTTTTGGGAAGAAACTGCTCCTGGAAAAGGATTGAAAGGGGTTATTGGGGCTGCTCAGGGGAGTTTTGGGAAGAAACTGCTCCTGAAAAAGGATTGAAAGGGATTATTGGGGCTGCTCAGGGGGGTTTTGGGAAGAAACTGCTCCTGAAAAGGTATTGAAAGGGATTGTTAGGAGGCTCAGGGGGTTTTGGGAAGAAACTGCTCCTGAAAAAGGATTGAAAGGGATTATTGGGGCTGCTCAGGGGGGTTTGGGGAAGAAACTGCTCCTGAAAAGGTATTGAAAGGGATTGTTGGGGCTGCTCAGGGGGGTTTTGGGAAGAAACTGCTCCTGGAAAAGGATTGAAAGGGATTGTTGGGGCTGCTCAGGGGGGTTTTGGGAAGAAACTGCTCCTGGAAAAGGATTGAAAGGGATTGTTGGGGCTGCTCAGGAGGGTTTTTGGGAAAAAGCTGCTCCTGGAAAGGGATTGAAAGGGATTGTTGGGGCTGCTCAGGGGGGTTTTGGGAAGAAACTGCTCCTGGAAAGGGATTGAAAGGGATTGTTGGGGCTGCCTCAGGGGTTTTGGGAAGAAACTGCTCCTGAAAAGGTATTGAAAGGGATTGTTGGGGCTGCTCAGGGGGGTTTTGGGAAGAAACTGCTCCTGGAAAGGGATTGAAAGGGATTATTGGGGCTGCTCAGGGGGGTTTTGGGAAGAAACTGCTCCTGGAAAAGGATTGAAAGGGATTGTTGGGGCTGCTCAGGGGGGTTTTGGGAAGAAACTGCTCCTGGAAAAGGATTGAAAGGGATTGTTGGGGCTGCTCAGGGGGGTTTTGGGAAGAAACTGCTCCTGGAAAGGGATTGAAAGGGATTATTGGGGCTGCTCAGGGGGGTTTTGGGAAGAAACTGCTCCTGGAAAGGGATTGAAAGGGATTATTGGGGCTGCTCAGGGGGGTTTTGGGAAGAAACTGCTCCTGGAAAAGGATTGAAAGGGATTGTTGGGGCTGCTCAGGGGGGTTTTGGGAAGAAACTGCTCCTGAAAAGGGATTGAAAGGGATTGTTGGGGCTGCTCAGGGGGGTTTTGGGAAGAAACTGCTCCTGAAAAGGGATTGAAAGGGATTGTTGGGGCTGCTCAGGGGGGTTTTGGGAAGAAACTGCTCCTGGAAAGGGATTGAAAGGGATTGTTGGGGCTGCTCAGGGGGGTTTTGGGAAGAAACTGCTCCTGGAAAAGGATTGAAAGGGATTATTGGGGCTGCTCAGGGAGGTTTGGGAGTCCCCAAATCCCCGGGGGTGTTTAAGGACAAGACCGGAGGTGTTACCAGGGGGGTGTTGGGTCCTGGGCTGGTTGATCCCAGATCTCTTCCTCGACCTGGCTGACCCTTTTACTCCCCCCTGCCCCTCTCCTTGCCCCCCCAAAAAAGGCACCAGCCCCCACGCCGTCACCAACGTGTCGGTGCTGGCGCTGCCTCTGGCCGCCAACATCTCCTGGGAGCCCGGCTTCGACGGAGGCTTCTTCCAGCGCTTCAGCGTCTGGTACAGCCCCCTGTGAGTGCCCCCACCCCGCCCTGGTGCCACCCCAGAGCTTTGCCAAGCCTGGGGTTGATGGATTTCCCCAAACCCCCAGGGTGAAGCCCCCTCCGCGGGCGCATCACGAGTGGGTGACGCTGGCGGTGCCCGCCGGGGCTCGGCACCTGCTGGTGGAGAACCTGCAGCCCCACACGGGCTACCAGTTCAGCGTGCTGGCCCAGAACAAGCTGGGCAGCGGCCCCTTCAGCCACATCGTCACCTCCGTGCCCAGGGGTGAGTGGGGGGCGACGCCCTCTTCCCCCCCGGAACCTCCCTGGGCGCCTCGTAAAAAAATGGGACTCTTTCTGTTTGCAGGGGCACCCCAAATCCTCCCCAGCTCCCCCAATCCCCCATATCCCACTCCCAACCCCTTTGGAATCCCCAATTCCCACTCTTTCCCCCCCTCAGGCTCCCCGGTGATCCCCCCAGTGCCTCAATCCCCTGGGACCCTCCTGTGTCCAAGTTCTCCCCATCCCACCAGGTCCCTCAACCCCTTTGACCCCCTGTGTCCAGGGACTCCCCAAATCCTCCCCAGCTCCCCAATCCCCATATCCCCCTCCCAACCCCTTGGAATCCCCAATTCCCACTCTTTCCCCCTCAGGCTCCCCAGTGACCCCCCAGTGCCTCAATCCCTGGGACCCTCCTGTGTCCAGGGACTCCCCATCCTCACCAGGTCCCTCAATCCCTGGGACCCTCCTGTGTCCAGGACTCCCCAAATCCTCCCAGCTCCCCAATCCCCATATCCCCTCCCAACCCCTTTGGAATCCCCAATTCCCACTCTTTCCCCCAGGCTCCCAGTGACCCCCCCAGTGCCTCAATCCCCTGGGACCCTTCTGTTCCCAAGTTCTCCCCATCCCACCAGGTCCCTCAACCCCCTGGGACCCTCCTATTCCCAAGTTCTCCCCCAATCCCCCATATCCCACTCCCAACCCCTTTGGAAGCCCCAATTCCCACTCTTTCTCCCCCAGGCTCCCTGGAGAACCCGGGACCCTCCTGTGTCCAAGTTCTCCCCATCCCACCAGGTCCCTCAATCCCCTGGGACCCTCCTATTCAAAAATTCTCCCTCAATCCCCCATATCCCACTCCCAACCCCTTTGGAAGCCCCAATTCCACTCTTTCCCCCAGGCTCCCCAGTGACCCCCCAGTGCCTCAATCCCCAAGACCCTCCTGTGTCCAAGTTCTCCCCATCCCACCAGGTCCCTCAATCCCCTGGGACCCTCCTGTGTCCAGGGACTCCCCAAATCCTCCCCAGCTTCCCCAAACCCCCATATCCCACTCCCAACCCCCTTGGAAGTCCCAACCCCTTTGGAATCCCCAATTCCCTCTCTTTCCCCCCGCAGGCTCCCCAGTGACCCCCCCAGTGCCTCAATCCCCTGGGACCCTGAATCCCCTGGGACCCTCCTGTGTCCAGGGACTCCCCAAATCCTCCCCAGCTCCCCCAATCCCCCATATCCCCCTCCCAACCCCTTTGGAATCCCCAATTCCACTCTTTTCCCCCAGGCTCCCCAGTGACCCCCAGTGCCTCAATCCCTGGGACCCTCCTGTGTCCAAGTTCTCCCCATCCCACCAGGTCCCTCAATCCCCCGGGACCCTCCCGTGTCCAGGGACTCCCCAAATCCTCCCCAGCTCCCCCAAACCCCCATATCCCACTCCCAACCCCTTGGAATCCCCAATTCCCACTCTTTTCCCCCTCAGGCTCCCCAGTGAACCCCCCACTACCTAAATCCCCCTGGGACCCTCCCGTGTCCAGGGACTCCCCAAATCCTCCCCAGCTCCCCCAACCCCCCATATCCCACTCCCAACCCCTTTGGAAGCTCCAATTCCCTCTCTTTCCCCGCAGGCTCCCCGGTGACCCCCCCAGTGCCCGCGGCGGTGCCGGCGGTGCCGGTGGAGGTTTCTCTGCAGCCCCCTCGGGCTCTCCGGGCCAGCCAGACCCCTCGGGGGGTTTTGCTGCGCTGGGAGCCCCCCGGGCCGGGGGCGGGGGTGGCACCCGGGGGGTCGAGGGTGGCACAGGGGGGGTCGGGGGTGGCTCCAGAGCCCAGCGGGTACGCGCTGGAGCTGCGCCAGGACGGAGGGCACTGGGAGCTGCTGCAGCGCCACATCCCAGGCACTCACACCCAGCTGATCGTGCCCGGCCTCATCAAGGTGGGGAAATGTGTGGGAATTGGGGGAAAATGTGTGGGAATTGGGGGGAAATGTGTGGGAATTGGGGTGAGGGGACAGGGGGAGCTGGGACAGGGGCACTGGGAGCTGCTGCAGCGTCACATCCCAGGCACTCACACCCAGCTGATCGTGCCCGGCCTCATCAAGGTGGGGAAATGTTTGGGAATTGGGGGAAAATGTGTGGGAATTGGGGAAAATGTGTGGAATTGGGGAAAATGTGTGGGAATTGGGGTGAGGGACAGGGGGAAATGTGTGGGGACAGGGGGAAATGTGTGGGAATTGGGGTGAGGGGATGGGGGGGAAATGTGTGGGAATTGGGGGAAAATGTGTGGGAATTGGGGGAAAATGTGTGGGAATTGGGGTGAGGGGACAGGGGGAGCTGGGACAGGGGCACTGGGAGCTCCTGCAGCGCCACATCCCAGGCACTCACACCCAGCTGATCGTGCCCGGCCTCATCAAGGTGGGGAAATGTGTGGAATTGGGGAAAATGTGGGAATTGGGGAAATGTTTGGGAATTGGGGGAAAATGTGTGGGAATTGGGGTGAGGGGACAGGGGGAAATGTTTGTGTGGGAATTGGGGTGAGGGGACAGGGGGAGCTGGGACAGGGGCACTGGGAGCTGCTGCAGCGTCACATCCCAGGCACTCACACCCAGCTGATCGTGCCCGGCCTCATCAAGGTGGGGAAATGTGTGGGAATTGGGGGAAAATGTGGAATTGGGGGAAATGTGGGAATTGGGGAAAATGTGTGGAATTGGGGTGAGGGGACAGGGGAAATGTGTGGGAATTGGGGTGAAAATGTGTGGGAATTGGGGTGAGGGACAGGGGGAAATGTTTGTGTGGGAATTGGGGTGAGGGGACAGGGGGGAAATGTTTGGGAATTGGGGTGAGGGGATGGGGGAAATGTTTGTGTGGGAATTGGGGTGAGGGGACAGGGGGAAATGTTTGTGTGGGAATTGGGGTGAGGGGACAGGGGGAAATGTTTGTGTGGGAATTGGGGTGAGGGGACAGGGGGAGCTGGGACTGGGTACTGGGAGCTGCTGCAGCGTCACATCCCCGGCACTCACACCCAGCTGATCGTGCCCGGCCTCATCAAGGTGAGGGGAAATGTGTGGAATTGGGGGAAAATGTGTGGAATTGGGGGAAATGTGTGGGAATTGGGGAAAATGTTTGGGAATTGGGGTGAGGGGACAGGGGGAAATGTGTGGAATTGGGGTGAGGGGACAGGGGGAAATGTTTGTGTGGGAATTGGGGTGAGGGGACAGGGGGAGCTGGGACTGGGGCACTGGGAGCTGCTGCAGCGCCACATCCCAGGCACTCACACCCAGCTGATCGTGCCCGGCCTCATCAAGGTGGGGAAATGTGTGGGAATTGGGGGAAAATGTGTGGGAATTGGGGTGAGGGGACAGGGGGAGCTGGGACAGGGGCACTGGGAGCTGCTGCAGCGCCACATCCCAGGCACTCACACCCAGGCTGATCGTGCCCGGCCTAATTGGGGTGAGGGAACAGGGGGAGCTGGGACAGGGGCACTGGGAGCTGCTGCAGCGCCACATCCCCGGCACTCACACCCAGCTGATCGTGCCCGGCCTCATCAAGGTGGGGAAATGTGTGGGAATTGGGGGGAAATGTGTGGGAATTGGGGGAAAATGTGTGGGAATTGGGGGAAAATGTGTGGGAATTGGGGTGAGGGGATGGGGGGGAATGTTTGGGAATTGGGGTGAGGGGACAGGGGGAAATGTTTGTGTGGAATTGGGGTGAGGGACAGGGGGAAATGTTTGTGTGGGAATTGGGGTGAGGGGACGGGGGAAAATGTGTGGGAATTGGGGTGAGGGACAGGGGGAAATGTTTGTGGGAATTGGGGTGAGGGACAGGGGGAAATGTTTGTGTGGGAATTGGGGTGAGGGGACAGGGGGGAAATGTTTGGGAATTGGGGTGAGGGGACAGGGGGAAATGTTTGTGTGGGAATTGGGGTGAGGGGACAGGGGGAGCTGGGACAGGGGCACTGGGAGCTGCTGCAGCGCCACATCCCAGGCACTCACACCCAGCTGATCGTGCCCGGCCTCATCAAGGTGAGGGAAATGTGTGGAATTGGGGAAAATGTGGGAATTGGGGGAAAATGTGTGGGAATTGGGGTGAGGGGACAGGGGAAAATGTGTGGGAATTGGGGTGAGGGGACAGGGGGAGCTGGGACTGGGGCACTGGGAGCTGCTGCAGGGCCACATCCCAGGCACTCACACCCAGCTGATCGTGCCCGGCCTCATCAAGGTGGGGGAAATGTGGGA